TAATTTTCTTGTATAGTTTGGCTCAATAAACGCGAAAATCGCACTTAAAATTTTTTTCATTTAAGCCTTTTCGAGATATGAATTTTCAATTGTTTTTTAAAATTTTTGTGTTTTGATGTTTTAGAGTATACTTCGAGTTCTAATTGATCGATTTGACCAAACAACAACATTTTAAAAATTAAATATTGAAATTAAATTATATTGAATATTGAACAATAATTATTGAACATTGATGATATTGAAAGTTTTATTTTGTTGTAATAAGCATAGGTTTTAAAAAATTCTGGGTCCTTCCTTGTTTTTTGTTGCTTTCGTATTCCGTTTCTCGTATAAGGGACCAAATGTAATCACCCATCATGGTTGCATCCCAGAAGCCGTGATACCACCAGCAAATGAAGGCTATGGAGCGGCGCATTCGAACTCTCTACTTGTTTTAGTTATTTTACACTTTTTATTAACTTAATAAAACCAAGGTAAAAATACCTTGTTGAAATATGAAAAAATAGCAGTAAAATGTGACTATGTAAACAATTCACGTTTGCGGAGTCATGTCAAATTTAAATTTTGAATAATGTTTTCGGTGAAAAAAGTACGTAAATAAACAAATTTCAAAATAAAAGAAAAAAAATTAAATAAAAATCGTCAAAAAGCTGAATTTTGTTCTTCCACTAAAAAATTCATAACTTTGTATTCGTATTCGTATTTTTATCAACTTTAGGTTGTTTTTTTTGTAAAAATGTCAGCTTCACGAAAAAAAATTCAAACTAAAGTTATCTGTTTGATTTAAACCTTTCCCAGGACGATATGTAAATTTTCGACCAATTTTTGCCATGAAAACGAATTTTTTAAGTTAATAAAATCGCTAGCGTTAAAATACTTATCCGATATCAAAAGTATGTAAAAGAAAGATTTAGAGGGCTCAAATGCCTTTAATTTGAGGGCTTGTTTGACCAAATCCATCAATTGTATTTAAATGAATTCAAGCTATAATGAAAAACGTCAAAACACCTCCGAAAATTGGAAAAAAAAAACAATTGAAAATTCATATTTCAAAAACGCTTCCATAAAAAAAAATGAGTGTAATTATCGTGTGTAGTTGGTCAAAAAACATGAAAAAGTTATAATTATGGTGGGCAGAATTTTGTTTCGATTTTGTAAACTAGTGTATTTACCCAGTAATATAAAGGCCCTAAGGTCTTGCAAAAGAATTTTTGTTTTTTGTGAGAGTCTGAACTATATTGTTTAAATAAATATGTGTTTGTTGTTTCCTGTATGATGACATATATTTCTTTACATTTGTATTATTAATTACCTTTACTGAAATAAAGATTATTATTATTATTATACATAATATGTCATTTTATTATTAAAATTATTTATATTATAAATAATTTTAATAATAAAATGACCTCCAAAACAGTATTTTTAATGAAAATTGCTTATACGCCAAGTTTTTTTGTATAGATCATGGTATTGGTGGCGGATTCAGGAGGAGAAATGGGGGAAATTCCCCCGCCCCCAGAGCTTCAGGACTACAAAAAATGTTGAGAGAGAAAAATCAAATGTGAAAATTTGTTCCTAGATATCAGAAAAAACACAAAAATAAAAAAAAACTGTACATTGAATGCTAATTCAAACATCATTATCCCTGGATTTTAGGTAAAAATTAATTTCCACCCTCCAAGAATTATGTCTGTGGTTTAAGATTCATTCATTTTTCACTGGAATATTTTCTTTAATTCATGTTTCTTGTTTTACCTAATAGGAATTATTGCGTGAAAACATTAACAACAGGTGTTGCCTTAGAAAATGATCCTACTAAAAAATTTAAATATTATTTTATTCAAATATTTATTATTATTTACAATACCACTTAGCTTTAAAGAAGAATTTAATATTAATTTTATGTTAATTTATCATTTTATTATTTATATTAAAATAAAAAAAAGTATAGAAGCAAACAAATCATGCTAGGTCTTTTTTGCTATTAATAGACAACCTTGTCTGTTTTTCTCTTAAATTTTTTGTTTTGGTGAGATTAATTTTACAAAAATCAGTACTGTCTCTGCAAAGCTTTATAAAAATTATACAATATGGATAAGTAATAAAGTTAATAAATGTACTCTTGATAAAATGATCTGCTTGTCCTCAAACCCTTAAAATTCATAAAGTACAGAGATATCTGGGTCTGAGTCTGAGCATACAATACACGGATATAACCTTCAAGCATATAATATTTGGATGTAAAAAGTGTGATGGTTTTGGTGTCAATGTTTTGTGGCAAAATTTGAGGTTTTTGAGCAAATATTAAAACCTCTTTCTTAAGGACCTCAATGGCCAAAAGTAAAACTTTTTTTTGCAATTAATATTATTAAAACCTTTTTATTGTTGCAAAAAAACAACATTAATTTGTAAATTTTTATCACACACCTAATTAAGTGGGTACCTACTGCTTAAAGTTATTAACGACATCAATTGATTTATTATCAAAGTTTAAAACCATTAATCATAGTGGTCTTGCGAAAAGGTTAATCAAATCCTAAATTAAGCAACAAGGAATATTTTTTATAACGAATCCTTATATTAGAATTAATTAATAAAATACCAATTCAAATTTAATGTATAACAATTCAAAATAGTGGATCTCCTTTCCCTAATGTTATGCTACTATGTAAACTATTTTTACAACTTTATTAGAATAAAACCTTCATTTTTTAATGAGTTTAAATAATAAAAACAAAACAAGTACCATTTTTAACTCCTTAAGTCATTTTTACAAAACGAGACAATTTGAGACCATATAGGGGGCAAAATTTGCCAAGTGTACCAGGTGAAAAAAATTGTGTCACCGATTTTGTTTAAACTTTACTTATTTGTTGTTCTTATAACGAAGAATCATAGCATAAAATTTTTTTGCTCTAGGATTGTTTATTCAAGAGTTATGGATTATTGAAATTTATCGATTTATTACTTTTTGGTGAAATCGCTTTTTATTTAAAAATTCATAACTTCTGTTCATCTCTTTATTAAATATTTTAATTTAATCACCTTAAATGATTTTTTCCGTACTTTTCAATGGTCTATACCGTTTTTGCAACAAAAAAAAATTGCAATTTTTTTTTGAAATTTTGCAATATATTGCATTTTTTTAACCAATGTGTATTTTTTAATTTTTTTTAAAATAGCATAAAATCGAAGTTTATTATGTTCCCTTTGAATAAAAAAAAAATTTAGAGTGGGCCCGACATGTAGAAGGGAACTTTTTCATATTTGAATGCGTGCGGGTCTAGCCATCGAATAGCTACTACACTGCCGTATGCGTTTATACCTACTCTCTAAAAGTGAAACAGTGAAATTTTCACTATTTCCGTCAGTGAATTATTATTCACTGTAAAATTAGTGTTTTTCAATATAAATTAGTGAAATTTTAACTTCTCCAAATTAGTGTTTTTTATTATCACTACTTTTTCGGAACTCTCGACATAAAATAGTGAAATTTTAACTTTTTTGAACTAAACCTATTTCACTAATTTGTACAGTGTAATTTCCACTAAATAAATTAGTGCAAAGAAATCGCTACATGAAAAAGTGAGTATTCACTAATTGCTAGTGGTATACTTATCACTGCGGCAAATAGTTAATATGCACTGTCAATCAGTGAAAATCCACTGTTTCATTTTTAGATGCGAGTAAACGAATACAAAATGATAATTTAAAATGTAAAATTAGTATGGTAGGGCACCAACACTTTATTCTTTCTGTATTTTACTTTAGCCACAAAAATAAAAATTAACATTATTCTAGTAATATCCGCCAAAAATCCTCCGAATTACGAAATCTACAAATCATATTTTAATCTGTAATTAATTAAATTAAAAAAATCATATTTTAATCTGCCGATTTGCAACACAAATATTCTGACTGACCGTTACGGTTTAAAAAGTAAGTAATGTCCGTACGGCGAATGTTTAGAGCTCGTCATGACAGCAAAAACAGTTTATAGACATTATATATTATTAACGCCATTGACCTATTCAGCTTATAGGCAAGCCGTTACGGTTATAACAATAATTTTTTTATTTAATATCATCGATCCTCCTTGCGAAATCTATGTAGACCCATGCTTAAACAATTTGTGCAAAAAAATACAGTTAAAAAACTATATAGCGGCAGTGTAAATATTTAAAATATATCATTGACTACTCAAACATAATTTTACATTTTAAATTATCATTTTGTATTCGTTTACTCGCATCTACTAGGTATAAACGCATACGGCAGTGTAGTAGCTATTCGATGGCTAGACCCGCACGCATTCAAATATGAAAAACTTCCCTTCTACATGTCGGGCCCACTCAAAATTTTTTTTTTATTTAAAGGTAATATAATAAACTTCGATTTTATGCTATTTAAAAAAAAATTAAAAAATACACATTGTTTAAAAAAATGCAAAATATTGCAAAATTTCAAAAAAAAATTGCAAATTTTTTTTTGTTGCAAAAACCATATAGCCCATTGAAAAGTACGAAAAAAATCATTTAAGTTGGTTAAATTAAAATATTTAATAAAGAGATGAACAGAAGTTATGAATTTTTAAATAAAAAGCGATTTCACCAAAAAGTAATAAATCGATAAATTTCAATAATCCATAACTCTTGAATGAACAATCCTAGAGCAAAAAAATTTTATGCTATGATTCTTCGTTATAAGAACAACAAATAAGTAAAGTTTAAACAAAATCGGTGACAAATTTTTTTTGACCTGGTACACTTGGCAAATTTTGCCCCATAGGCAGGTGCTTTAGGCAGCAACTATTATTCAAATTTTTAATTAATAAATCTTGTTTGAGAAAGATGTTGAAACATTTCTTTAAATCTGTTTTAGTATTTAAACCATTGATGTAACACCCAAACTGCTCTTCTTTATTTCACAAATTGAATAATAATTAAGTGACATTTGCATTTTCCACATATAAAACACGGATTCACTGAACTGATATCATTTCACTTATTGGTAGTAGCAGAGATGTTTCAATTGGTAATTGATTTTTTATGTGGGTTTAAAGTGAAAGTTAAACAAATTGTTTTTTGTGGTGTTGTTTAATAGTTGTTTTGTTTTCAGGTGGTATTGTCAGCCATATTGGCTTCATCCTTGGCAGCATATAATCCTTATAGCATTGTTAATAACGTTAACAATGGAAGACATATTAGGATTTTAAAACAAAATCAGGACATTCACCCAGATGGTAGCTACCAATGGTCGTAAGTACTCCATACTGAATCTCAAAGTTATACTCTTTAATTTATTATTTAAGCTACGAAACCGAAAACGGAATAGCAGCCCAAGAGCTGGGCAAACTCCGTGGAAAAGGCCAGGAAGCCTCCATCGAGGTGCAAGGCTCCTACTCCTACACATCCCCAGAAGGTATCCCTGTTGCGATTTCCTACGTAGCTGACGATACGGGTTACCATCCAGCCGGAGATCTTCCAACACCGCCACCAATCCCAATCGCCATCCAGAGGGCTTTGGCCTGGAACGCGGCTCATCCAGAGGAGGAGCAAGAAGAGCAACGAAGGCCTTACAACCAAAGAACTTATGGTTAGGATTTTTTAGTGATTAAGAATAAATTATGTACCTATTTTAAGTAAATTTTGTTTTATTTTATTAAATTATTCCTTCTATTACATATCGACCCATGCAACGAAGACTATAGTAACTCAAAAAACGTGGGTTTTGACTTACTATATGGCATCAACAGATTTTTTCAAGCTCTATTACAGTTGTATAGTAAGTGTAATAATTAGGGATGGGATTTTAGTTATTTTACCTTTTTTCAACCGATGTAACTATTTGAAAACCAATAATGCCAAAAGTGTTTTAAAAGATTTTCTTTTATATGAACCGAACTTGTTTTCACCTTTTTTACCTTTTTTGGAGGTTTTTGCTTTAAACTACCTTTTTTATACTTTTGGTACCTATTTTTTAACTTATTTTAACCTTTTTTACCTTTTTTGGAGGTTTTTGCTTTAAACTACCTTTTTATACTTTTGTTACATATTTTTTAATTTGTCAGTTTATTTTCATATATTTTTTACCTATTATTACGTATTTTTACTTATTTTATTATTTTGTGTTCTTTTTAAATTTTGCGCCAATATTTTATCCAGGGCGTGCAACTCAACGGTATTAAATTTTTTCTTATGGTCACAGACTGTAACAGTAACTTTCTTTACAGTTACCTTCTTTGTAGTGAGCTTATGTTCTGTCATAGAACTTCTTTGTAGTGAGTGTCACTCAGTGAAACACAGTTTATTGCATAGAAATAGTTGTGGGTAAGTTCTGTGTTTGGGTATGCGGCTAAACAAAATTATAAACGAAACGTGAACTTTTAATGTTTTTTTTACATAAAATGCTGTTTTTTTAACCTAAAATGCTTTTTTTTAGTACCTTTTTAGTTACCTATTTTTCAGTTTTTAGTACCTAAATAACCCATCCCTAGTAATAATCCACATTCCTACAGGAAAAAACTATATTAAGTTGAGTTACTCTAGTCTACAATCAAAACTGAGTTACAATAGTCTTCGTTGCATGGGTATATTATATTATAAGATCATGAATTCAGTAAAAATCATAAAACAAATAAGTCGACTAAATTCAAACATCGTTATGCATTATTAAAAGCGTCTCCATTCAACGGTAAGATAACCAAAAACGGGTATTACATTATTTATTATATATAATATGATGTTGCCATTAATTCATAGATATATTTTGCCCTTTACTATTTTACACAGTAAAAAAATATTTGTTAAGTTTAACCAGATTTTATGTTAATCCAAGTTCACACTTTATGTTATGTTTACAACCAACTGCAATCTGTTAACTAATTGAATAAGTAGTTTGTAATTATAACAAACATTTTGTAGACGCAATAACAAAATCCTATGTCAGTAATTCAACCATAACTCTTGTAATTTTTAAAAAGGAACTTTTTTTACAAACCTTATTGCAAACCCAGAAACAAAATTATTTGTTTTAAATTGGGAACTTAAATAAAAAGAATGTTGATAAGAAATGTTGCTTTATTAATCAATTTCCTAAACAAAAAAATTAACATTAACATACCTACATAAATAACACACACAATATATAATTATCAGTACTACTACAACACTCAGTGGGAAATGTTTTGATTGACTGCCTGAAATCACGTGTACTTTTGAAACTAAATAATTTGTTAAAAAAATAATCTGTACACATAAAAAAATCTTTCACAGTACCAAGAACAGCGCTGTCATTGAATGCATTAAAATTGCTCAATTAATTACTATTAAACCAAAATAGGGAAACATTTTGCCTAAATGTCAAAGAATTTATTGCGTTAAATGTATACATAGTATACATACTATAGTTACGTTATTAAGGGCCGGTTTATCAATCTCTGGTTAAGTTCCAGTTAGTCTATCTGACAGTTAAATTCCATAGCGATCGTTGTGAGAACAATGGAATCCATGGAGATTATCTGCAACTTTAACTGTACATTGATAAACCGGCCCTAAATAAATAAAATTAGTATTTAATGCAATAACATTCTAACAAATAAATATCAATAGATTTAGGAGCGATAACTTTTGTTGTTAATTTAAAAACAGTATGCTATGGTAGCGTTTTTTCTGTGTAACCTTTGAAAATAACAAAATGCTTACAAAATTGCATATTACCTTTACAATACTTTCGGTAAAATATTTTTCTTTGTTAAAATAATTACAAACCCTGGTTTATACAAAAAATTATGTTAAAATTTTACAAAATAAAATGATCAAACTACAAACTCGTGTTAATAAATCTGATTTTTATAATAACAAACTTTTACTAAAAATCATTGGTAATGTAGCTAAAGGTTCTAATTAAATTTACAAAAATTATTTTATCCACATTCATTAAGTTTCCCCACAAAAATAATGTTTTTAACACAATTAAAAAAAAATATAGGAAATTTTATAAAATTCTAAAAAAATGTTCCTTTAACAGCATATATCGTAAAAAATATGTTTTTTTAAGGGACATAATGTGGTTTGAAATAACAATAATTTCTATAGTTAGGTAATAAACATCACTGGAAGGTAAACAAACGCAAGGAATATAAAATACCTAATTTAATAACTGAAACTTTTGTTTGTGATTAATATTATTAAAAAAGGACAGCTACTGCACAAACATAATAAAATTAAACAGTACATGATCTTGATGGTACCTTCTGGATTATTTTTCACATAACTCATTTCTAACTTATTATTATTCATTGTCATGTCTAAAAAAAATTGAAAATCGTCACTGGCCTTGTAGTGTTAAAATGGTTCATTTGAAACATTTTCATGATTTATGGTGGAGTCAATAAAATCATAGACGTAGATATTTTATTTCGGGGTTTTTGTTTTTTACTTTTTGTTTGAAAGAGTTGAACTTTTATTAAAAAATTGAATAATTTTGAGATTTTAAAAAACATGTAGGTATATTTTAAGATTTTTGTTCTCTATATATGGTATTTTAAGAATAAACTACTTTAAGAATTGGAAAGACGTTTTTATGTATTTATTTATTATAATTGTTTATAATTACCTTAAATTGAAAAATTATACAATTAAAGACAAACAATCATCAAATTAGTACAACCCACCTTTTTTTTAAACATAAAAATTATTAGAAAAATACATGGTACACCTATGCGTAGCTTTGATATCGCCTACGCCAATGATGGTACCATTGTGGGAGTCGGAAAAAAAAATAAAAGTATTTTTTATAACTGACATTTATAGTTTAACTCATATAAATAAAACACATCTGAAACAATCAGATCACAACTAGTTAGTTCCTCAAGTGATAATCACAATGTTGAAATTGGTAAGTGGAACAAGAAATATTTAACAATTTTTAATTTTTTTTAAATGTGTGTTATTCATTTAAGTAATGTAATTGTTTCACTTTTTTTATTATGAAACAATATTGAATAGCGGTCCACATAAGTTTACAACCAACTGTAATCTGTTAACTTATTGAATAAGTAGTTTGTAATTATAACAAACATTTTGTGGATTTAAAAACAAAATCTTATGTCAATAATTCAACCATAATTCTTGTAATTTTCAAAAAGGAATACGAATAACAATAATAACAGATTTCTGATAATATATTATAAATACTCTGGGCAGTTGTTACGAACACTTTATGAATTAGAATAAAGTAAGCAGAAACATAAGTTGCAGACGGTGAAGTCAGTTGAACTTCTTGATGCGTACTGTCAGTGAGAAATGTTTTAATTGACTGCCTGAAATCACGTGTACTTTTTCAACGAAATAATTTGTTAACAAAATAATCTGTAACGTTTAAAATTAACAAAATGTTTACAAATATACATATTACCTTTACAAAACTTTCTGTAAAATATTTTCCCTGGTTTTCTACAAAAAAGTATGTTAAAATTTTACAAAATAAAATTAACAAACTCATGTAAACAAATTGGATTTTTATAACTGTGTATATTTACTTTTAACGACAATTTGTAGGTATTTTCTTTGGCTCTTTTGGCTTGCGCCTCAGCTCAACTAAGACATAATCAGTACAACCCATATAATTCGTACCAACGTTACAACCCAGTTCAACCAATCGCAGCTCCACATTACCAGACCTACCAACAACCACAACACTACCAAACTTATGCCTCTAAACAACACATCCCAATTTTGCGTCAGGATGCTGACATCAATGAAGATGGTTCTTACAGCTATAGGTAAGGTCTAAAGTAAAAGGTTTTTCTTCCTTGAGTTGTCAAATCAATTGAAGATGATTCACATGACTTACTTTGGTAACGTGCTTCTAATTTTATCTCTTATTTAGTTACGAAACTGGAAATGGAATCCAAGCCCAAGAACAAGCCACCAACGTAAACCAAGGCTTGGAAAAGCAAGCTCAAGGTTCCTACTCCTACACTTCTCCCGAAGGAGAACTGGTCCAAGTCTCCTACGTGGCTGACGGAAACGGATTCAGACCAACAGGATCTCACATTCCAACCCCTCCCCCAATTCCAGCCGCCATCCAGAGGTCCTTGGACTGGATCGCCAGCCATCCGCAGCAACCTGAGATCAGACAATACAAAACATACAACCAGGCTTACAATCCCTATCAACAATATGCTTAGATAAATAAGGTTCATTTTATGACGATTATGGATGTGATTTGTATATTTTGTGTGAATAAAAATAAATGTATTAATGAAAATATATTTTTGTTTTATTTGTAGCTAAAATATATTTTAATAGAAGGTCTGAAGTAAATAATTCTGCTATGACATAATTTTCATATTATGAATATATAATTTGTTGAAATATATTTTAATACCTAAAGGTGATATGTAATGTTCAGAGCTGTCAGATAAATTATAATTTTAGTTTATTTTGCAATGTTACAAATTAAGTATAGTGTAAGCATAACAAAGTAATAAATTAAGTTTATGCAAATTGTAGTAATTTTAACTTTTATAAAATTATTCTGAAGTATTTACCACCCAAGTACCTACTAGTTTTTGACCTAGTAACTATTTTTTCTATTTTACTTCTAAAACAAAAATATACAGGGTGTCTAATAGACACTGTCTATTTATACCATGAGCCTATTTTGAAATTTATTTCGCGAAATATATTGGCATTATTGAACAACTCAAATCCTCAATGAAATGAATTTTGTATTAGATTTATAAAAACTTACAAAAAAGACTGCTATTCATGCTAATTAGTTTTAATATTGTGAATAGTATTGTTTGTTTTCCAAAATGGTTTATACAACGGCTGAACGTGTTAAAATTATTTTTATTTATGGTGCACAAAGGCGTTGTGCTCCACGAACTGCAATGGCATTTAATGAACTACACCATGGCGATGAGACAGGCATCTAGAATTTTGTGAAATCATGACCAATAAAATAACAAATAAGATCCAAATACCTAAAAACATTTGCTTCAGCGATGAGTGTACTTTTTATATAAATGAAAATGTTAACAAACCAAATTGTCGTTATTGGAGCAATAAAAATCCTCATTTCATCAAAGAAAATCATACCCAGTATTCTGAAAACTTAATGTCTGGGCAGAAATTTTAGGATATTGTATTATTGGTCCCTTATTTATTGACCAAAATTTGAATGGTCAAATTTATTTTGAAATGTTACACAGTTTTTTACTAATAATTTTACGACAAAAAATGGTTTATTTGGTATTTATAACGAGAAATTTTAATAAATAATTATAAACATTATTTTGCGTATTTTTAAAAAATTAAAGTAATAAAAAGTTTTTTTAGTACCTACTACTAAATAGCAATTTTCAATAGCTTTCCCATGAGGTATCACAAAAAAGGTGTTGTTATATAAAAAAAGATTGAGTTGGGGTGGTTTCAGCTCTAGGGGTTGCTTAGTAAAGGTAATTTTTGTAATCATATTGATTCTCCCCACATATATGTTAGTTTATCAGGTTTTAAAAGTTCTCTTCAAAAATCAGCTAAATTTTAGGGGTAGCTTACGAATTTTGCAAATTCCAAAAATAAACTGCGCACCACTCAATGAGTCGCGACCAAAAATTTCATCCTATTTCAAAACCACGTAACTTTTTTGTTTCTTAAACGATTTTATTTTGGTTTGTGATGTCTGCCTGTGCATGAATTGCCAGAGAATGGGGCTAGCAGACATCACAAACCAAAATAAAATCGTTCAAGAAACAAAAAAGTTATGTCGTTTTGAAATAGGACGAAATTTTTGGTCGCGCCACATTGAGTGAGCGTTTAGTTAAAATTCAATTTTTGTAAACGTAAAATGTCCTAATATTTAATATTTAAAGGTCGCTCGAAAACATCAAAAGCAATGAATTTATATTTGTTTAAAAGTGTGATGCTATTTGATAAGGAATAATTTAAACAATACATTTGGGAAAAAATTGATTGGTAAATTTGGGCCACCAAGAAGTCTAGATTTACCATTTATGGATTTTTACATTAGGGACAAACTAAAACAACAAGTTTATAAAGACAACTTTATCAATGAAGTTAAATGAATTGGAAAGATGAAAAACAAATTACTAAATAAAATTAATAAATTAAAAGAACTCTAGAATTATGTAGTAATTTCGGGATTTATTTTCTTCTCTTTATTTGTATTAATTTATTATGTTTTTTCCGTTATATTGCATCGTCTATAACTATATATGTGTAATACTTATCTACAGTATTTTAATCTTTAGTTAAAATTATATCAAAACCGCACATATAAATATTGGTATTTAACAAAATTTAAATAAATAATTTAAACCTAACGTAATAATAAAAAACACCATATCAAATTGAAAAATAACATTAAAGCTCAATGAATAAAATAAAAATTATGTTAAATCGCTTTTTTATATTTTAAGGATTTTTTAGTCATTTTTTGTAGGTTATATCTTTAGCACTCCTCTCAGCAGCTTCAGCTGCCCTCTACAGGAAATCTTACTATAACAGCGCGTACCCTAGGGCCAATGTAAACGTTTATAGACCCAGAACTACCTACTCCCCATATAGAAATTTGATAAATGTAGCACCAATAGCAAGGCCCCTAAATACATACCATGTGGCACGCCAGAATTACTATAACAACCCCCAGATTGCTATTTTAAGAAATGACCAAGATATTAGACCAGATGGTTCCTACTCTTATGCGTAAGTAGAGAATTATAATATTAAAATGAATTTTTAATTTAACAAAATACAAAATACTATACGTGTTGTTTTATATTCTGGGTTAAACTTCAAATTACAAATAACTAAATATACCACAATAGTTGAAATATCTTCATATTATATTAGCATAGTTGTGATAATGTGATTTGCACCAGCAGAATTTACTTCATAGTTTTATAACTTTTTGGTGTATTAGTATGGTATCTGAAACGTTATGACCACTTTTGAAAGTATGAATAGGAACGGCAACCAAATCACACACTTAAGTATTACTTGGCAGTAGTAGTAAAGAGGGTATACCAGTTTTGGCCACGTTTTTAAAACTTTTTCCAAACCTTAAATGTGGCAAAACCTTATAATATAATTGCGGTTGTGGTCATTGCCACGTTATTGCTACATGCTTAAGTGATTTCCACGTTTTGTATAGGATTACCACTTTAAAGTTCCCTTCTTCGAAAGCAGACATGTTTACAAATAATCGGCATTTTAGGAAGATAAATTTGTTTTAAACAAATAATTCGACGATAGAAAGTGAATAGTAAAGCTTCGATTAAGTTTTGGCCACTATACCTTCACCTTAAAGAGTCTGTATACAATTCAAGAACGTTGTTGGAACGTTACTGACAGTAATATAACCGTTTCCACCACGTGGCAGAGATTTAAGCAATACACTTAAGTGTTACAGTTCCAAATATAGTGCCAAATACGTTTTATACATTAAAAATTTACTTGCTACTTAAAAAAAGATGATTTAAATCATGTTTGGTTTCAGAACCGGACGCATCAAAACATTCTGAACCTGGATATAGCACCAATTGATAATTCGTTAAGTTTGACCGAGAGTTGTTTTTTTATATTAATTTAGCTCACCTTTTTAATAAGTAGCTCAGGCTAATGACCACAAATATAATTTTTACACCAAAAGAGTCTTAGAACCAATTTCTGCAATTATGTTACATACAAATCCCCTTTTTCATTAAGTTCGTCAATTATCATTTTTTCTGAAAAGTTTTTGTCTTTTTCTTGAAACTATCTTTGTGTGCACTCGCCTCAAATAAATGTTCTATAAATTTTTAGCTACGAGACGGCCAATGGCATTGCCGCTCAAGAGCAAGGAGTGGGGGGTAGATCTGTACAAGGGGGTTTCTCCTGGACTTCCCCTGAAGGTCAATTGGTCCAAATCCAATATGTCGCCGATGAAAATGGTTACCATCCCACAGGATCTCACATTCCTGTTGTTCAAAGATCTTTATCTCATCCACAATATTATAATACGTATTCCCGTAAATACTAATAATAAAATATGATAAATAAATACTGAGAATTGATAAGTGTAGTTTTATGAAACATATGAATGTTAAATATATATTTATACAGTGTGTCACAGCTTCTTAAAGTTGAGGTTTCAAGAAAAAAAATATAGATTCTTTAAAACCTATTTTATTTTCATGTATACCATTCACCTGGTTAAAATCAACATAAATTGAAAATCGGCTATGTGGAGTTTGGTGTACAGTCGGCAACAGAATAAATTACTTTCCACAAAATGAAAAATTCAATAACAAAAGATAAAAATATGAATCTGAAATTTACTAAATAAATCTTTCTTGGGTTCTAGGATTGGCTTTTACTACAGTGGTAATAAAAATGAGTCATAAAGAAAACTAGAAATTTATGACTATTACTACTTATTAACTATTATAAGCACAAATACAACGTTTTAAATGTTATAAATAATTTTCAGACTTGAGACTAAGCGTATAATTTTGGAAAAATACTTTAAATGAATGGTGAACTTGTTCTGATGCTTGCTCAGAGAAGAATCCCAGTGGCTTATTTGTTATTTTAATGAAATCCTAAACATGGTTTACTATAGTAAACCAAAAATTCACGCCGTATACGGCGTGAATTTTTGGAGTAAATTTTATGCCTGCTTTTCGACATCTTCTTTCAAATTCAGAAATATAAATGACATAATTCGCATCCAAGCTATTGGAAAAGCAGCTAGACACTACTCTATGGAAAGTCCTGAGTACTTCTATATAGGTACTTATTTCCTAAAAACAAAAGTAGTACGTGAAATCATCGCAAGAGATCTTGAAATTTAATAAAATTAAAAACAACAAACTTAAACAGTACCTGGAACCAGTTCTTCTAAGATGGAAACATTTTTAATCAGTTTTCTTTACTATTTTCACCATCTGACAAAATGTTAAGGCATATCTTCAGGGAACCCGCCTCACCATCTATACCAATTTTAAGATGGAAATTTTCATCTAAGATACGTTATGTACAGTATGTATGCTACCAGTTGTGATAAATTGTTGCAGTAGACAAATGGCGACAAAGCAAATTGTTTTTTGGATAATTCCACATTTGGCAAAAACATGCCATCAAAATACTGTACATGTGAACATTCCTGGATCTTCGAAATTGCTTGTTTTTCAACCAAATGCTTGTCTACGTTGCGCAGAGTACTGACAATTTTTTTAACACTGCTCACCGGAAGATTGCAATCAATTTGCATTTCCCTAAGGGTGGTTGATTTGATTACAGGTTTATCTTTTGTATTCGCTTTGCGCAAAACGTTAATTTGCATGTGACAGCCTCTCACTATATTTAAAGAAATAGAAGATTATTTTACATGCTACTTGTTTACAATTTTTTGCTAAACCAGCGATATTTTCTATTTTTTCTCTCTACAGCAATTTTCTCATGAAATTACATAGTTAAAAAATTGATAATTATTAAATCAATAAAAAAATACTGTTTTCTTTTCGTCAATTATATCTCGGCCGACTGTACACCTAATTCCACATAGACGATTTTAAAAATGCGTTTTGTTAATAGGGGCTATTGTGTAGATTATAAAAAATGCAAATTAAAAGAATCTATATTTTTTTTCTTGAAACTTTAACTTTAGGAAGCTGTGGTGTATCAGCCAAATGGAATAAATTCGATAATACATAAATGGAGGCGTTATCCAAAAAACGTTTGGACATGTCGATTGGTATTTTTAGTTGCGCCTTTTCAAACAAAACTTTTTGTACAGGGTGTGTCATGTAGCAGTGGCCAATACCAACTTTCTTATTTTAAATGCAACACCCTGTATAATGTGAAATGTTCGAGAAGGTGCTTGCGTGAGGTGGGTCACGTACGGTCACGTACGTGCGGAGCATCAAGTAGATAATCAAGCTTTGGTACTCGCGACGAAATAAATTAATTACACCTGCAAATAAATAGACAGTAGTAATATATAAATAAAACTAGTTTACAAAATCAAAAAAAATTTCTGCCCATTATAATTTTGACCCACTAAACACCAAAATCACACTTAATTTTTTTATGGAAGCGTTTTTAAGCTATGAATTTTCAATTGTTCTTTTTTTCAACTTTTGGAGGTGTTTTGACGTTTTTGAGAATACTAATTAATCGATTTGGCTGAACAAGCCCTTAAATTGAAGGTATTTGAGCCATATAAAACTTTATTTTGCATACTTTTGATATGGGAAAAGTATTTTGATGCTAGTGATTTTGATAACTTCACAAATTCGTTTTTATGGCAAAAACTGAGGTCGAAAATTTACATATAGCCCTGTGGAAAGGTTTAAATCAAACAGATAACTCCAGTTTAATTTTTTTATAAAGCTGACATTAAATAAAAATAAGCTAATGTTGATAAAAATCCATGGATAAATTGCGAAGTTATGAATTTTTTAGTGGAAGACCAAATTTCAGCTTTTTGACGATTTTTAGTTTTTTTTCTTTTATTTTGTAATATGTTTATTCTTTAATAAAAACCTAATTAAAGTGCATGATTGGAATTTTTTGAGTTTTTTAGGTAACTTTTTTCACCGAAAACATTATTCAAAATGTAAATTTGACCGCAAACGTGAATTCTTTTGTTTCTCGTGTTGGCATAGTGACATTTGACTGTTCTTTTTTGACATTTCAACAATGTATTTTTAATATTGTTTATTTAGTTAAAAAAAACTGTAAATTGAGTAAAAGATGTAGAGAGTTCAAGTGCGTAAATAACCCGGACAATGTTGACAACGCGTCGTAAGTGATGAACACGGAGAACGTTTTCACCAGCAAATGAAGGCTATGGAGCGGCGGTATAAAGGCTTCTGGGATGCAGCCATGATGGGTCCGGGACCCAGGGTCCCTCATACGAGAAACGGAATACGAAAGCAACAAAAAACAAAATTATTACAACAAAATAAAACTTTCAATATCTTCAATGTTCAATATTTAATGTTCAATATTCAATATAGAATTTAAGTTCAATATTTAATGTTTAATATAAAAATCAATGTTTAATATTAAATTTTATATAATTTAATAAAATGAAGAAAAAAAGTAAACATTCTCGAAAAGCTAAATTTTGATGCTTCACTGAAAAATTCATAACTTCGCCATTTATCCATGGATTTTTATCAACATCAGCTTATTTTTTTGCTTTAAGTATATACGTAAAACAAATCAAACTGGACTTACCTTTTCGATTTCTATCTTTTCCAAAAGATATGTTAATTTTCGACCTCATTTTTTGCAAAAAAGGAATTTTTCAAGTTAATAAAATCGGTAGCATCGAACTACTGGGCCGATACCAAAACTATACAAAAGAAAAGTTCTAGAGGGCTTACTCTCTAAAAATGAAACAGTGGATTTTCACTGATTAACAGTGCATAATATATTATTAACTATTTGCCGCAGTGATAAGTATACCACTAGCAATTAGCGATTTCTTTGCACTATTTTATTTAGTGGAAATTACACTGTACAAATTAGTGAAATAGGTTTAGTAGTTATGATAACTAAGTTCAAAAAAGTTAAAATTTCACTATTTTATGTCGAGAGTTTCGGAAAAGTAGTGATAATAAAAAACACTAATTTGGAGAAGTTAAAATTTCACTAATTTATATTAAAAAACACTAATTTTACAGTGATTAATAACTCACTGACGGAAATAGTGAAAATTTCACTGTTTCACTTTTAGAGACCTTTGATTTAAGTGCTTGTTTGGTCAAATCGATTAATTAGAACTCACTGACGGAAATAGTAAAAATTTCACTGTTTCACTTTTAGAGACCTTTGATTTAAGTGCTTGTTTGGTCAAATCGATTAATTAGAACTCAAAACCTCAAAAAACAATTGAAAATGTATATCTCGAAAACGCTTTCATGAAAAAAAATTAAGTGTGATTTTCGCGTTTTGTCAGCCAAACTACGTAGTGAGACATGGTGGGCAAAATGGCTGTAAACTAGTCTAATTACACTGAAAGAAATATATGCTTGTTTTAGCAATTTTATGTGGTTCATATATGGACTACCACATACATTGCTAAAACAAACATATATTATATTTAGTTTTAACATAATATGTTAAAACTAAATATAAAAATGGTTAAGGTAAATATATTTTATGTGGTAGTCCACATACATTGCTAAAACAAACATATATTTCTTTCAGTGTAGTAGTTAGGTAAGTGATTAGTTAGTTTTATTGTTTTGGTGTTTTTATTGTTATTAAGTTATTAAATAAATCGTTTAGTTCGTTAATAAAACCAAAGCGTGTTTTAATCACACCGTCGAAAGATAAAAACTGTTCACTATCTTTAACTGTTTATTTTAAAAATTAACATTAAAGAACGATAATTATTTGGTTACAGAAATTTGCTACAACATACTGAAAAACTAATAAGTTATACTGTGCTACGTTTTTTGGAACACGCCTCCTTTTATGTATTATGGAATTTTTTTGATTTGGCTGACTCACACTGTTTATTATATTATCAATAATTATCAACCGCATTTTAACCGAAAGAACTTTTTTGTGAAGTGAAATTCTACGTTATATCAATTTAAAATGTTGTCAGTGAAGTTTGCAATATTTTCGGTATTTTTATTCGTACATTTTAAGCATTTAAATGCTGATTGTATTAAAAAAAAGCTATGTAGTGCTTGTATACAGGAACCTGGATGTGGATGGTGTGAAATTGCACAGGTAAAATATTTTTTTTATTTAATAATTTATCTGAGGGGCAAGGTCAGGCAAGATAAATAAAAAAATATATTAAGTAACTATATTTGAGATGGGATTCTATATTCAATTTAAAATGCCTTTAACAATTCTCAATTCAAAATTTTTTTACTCTTTTCTTACAATTCATACATTTTGTATTCAAAAGTGCTTGCCTTAAATAAAAAAATGCCTTTTTGGGAACTTTTTCAAGGTCATGTTCCATATTCTTAAATCGTTTTAAAATTGAGGAAAATTAGTAGAGGTGCGAATATTAAATTTTAAAAATAATTTTATGAACGGTTAATGGTTAATAACAAGTAAAAAGGTTATAACTGTCAAAGAATTTTTTATTTTTGCATAGATATGGAACAAATTCATTAAAAAATTTGCCTTTTTACCTAAAAAAATCCTTAAACATGTCGATTTTGATTTTTAATTCCGCAAATTTTGATGTAAAATTTTTATATTTGCCTCCATTTTTGTAGAAGCTATGATGTCATCGGCCTTTTTTTAATTTGCAGGTTCGAATAGATTATAAAATTCTGAATTCAGCAATATACATTCTACATATATTCTTTGATTATATTTTATTTTGCGTAACCCTGAATAGGACTGCTATTAATTACAATTCAAAATTAAATTAATAGTAGAATTTGTAGCTGTGGCACTCTAAAAACTGATCTAAGGTGTCAAGTTTTACAAAATTCATAAAAATGCCTATACAGGGTGTCCCAGAACTCGCGCCACAGAGAAAAAGGGAACGTACCGAAAGTAATTTGAAACACATATTTAAAAATTCAAATTGTCCAACGCAAAGGATATGGGAGATAAGAATAAAAAACGATAGCCAATCCCAATAGATCACCACAGGGAATTCTTTAAATTGCTAGGATACTTAGGTTGCATTGTTGATAATAAAAAATATGTAAAATATTTGGTCCACTGGAATCCAATTCATTGTAACACTGCTGTCAATCTTTACTCCTGTCATTATTATTATATTAGGTTATAATAGTTATTTATGTATTAAGGGCATAATAAGGTTTTTATGGTCCGAGGCGCTATTTCGAGCCCGAGCGCGTTAGCGCGAGGGCTAGAAAAGCGTCGTAGGACCATAAAAACCAGTTATGCCAGCAATGCATACAAAACTTTATGCACGATTAATATATTATTATTTTTAATATATTATTGTTTTTAAAGACGTTTACGTCAAAGAATTTTTGTTATAATTGTCATATTATAATGTCAACTGACATCAGTCAGTGTTAAAGTTTAAAGATGAATGAAATTGAGGAAGCAGCTGAAAAGGCGAAAAATTGCGGCCTGCTGCCGGAAAAATCAAAATCTTTATACGAAAAAACTTACTTCGAATATATCAAATGGTGTAACATTGTTGTTTTTAATTTTTGACGTTTCATTATAGCCCGCTGGGTCATAATAACGCCCGCGGGCTATAAAAAGACGTTTACGTCAAAGAATTTTTGTTATAATTGTCATATTATAATGTCATCGTGCATAAATTAAGTTATTATTGACAATGCTGTCAATCTTCACTTTTGTCATTAATATTATATTAGGTAATTAATTAAGTTATTATAAATAATGTTTTCCTTGATGATTATAACGAAATGATAACTATTTATGGGGAGCGTGGGCGCAAAAAAAGCTAAATAAAGTACAACTGGTTTGATTTTTTACTTTAAAACATTGGCGTTCTGAAGTATCAGTCATAGATTAATGACCTCATTTTTTGAAAGCTTTTGACAACTTAGTAAATACAGTTGGCCAAAAGATTTTTAAATGTTTTTAAGACAACAATGTTCTATCGTCTCCTAGCAAATTTTAAAGCTCCTACGTTTAACCTAGGCGAGATCTCTCGGTATTGGCTGCCGCTTTTTTGGTCTTATTCGATTACACTATTACCTAGAAATTTTTTATTTTTAAATTTGGCATCTCCATTGCTACCGGCACGCCCCCTTTTTCTCTGTGGCGCGAGTTCTGGGAACCCTGTATATCAAAAACTAACGATTTTTTACTAAGGTCATATTTTGATTTTCTGCTTAGTCATGAGTTGGTCTATCAGTCCTCCAAAGGATATCGTTGACTTTTGGGACACCCTGTATATGATAGTTTTGGGTATTAATAAATTTAAAAGTTCGAGATTTAAAAATTTTTATTCCCAAAAAATATTTTTTATCTTCATGAAAATTATTTTGAAAATGCTTTTAATGGATACATTTACCAATTGAATGTTTGAATTGCTCCCCGTTGGTTTCTTGACAGTAAGCAAGCCTATCCGAAAATTCTCTAAGAACGTTTTGGTGACTTCCGCACAAATAAAGCGACATTCTTCACGAATTTGATTTTTGCAAGTCTTCTAAATTTTGTGGTCTGTTGATTTAAGGTAGCCCCATAAGAAATAATCAAGAGTGGTGAGATCTAGAGATCTCGGTCCTCGTCTGTCAATCCACCTCTCAGGAAAACATTTGTCCAAAAAAGTACGGACAGGAGTTGAAACTAAAAGGTACTTGGTAGATTGGGACCTCCACTCTCATTGGAAAACATTTTTGATAATGTGAGAAGAAAAGAGTTTTGCAAAATTTCCAAATACGTTTCTCTTGTCATATTCTCATCAAACAAAAAAGGACCTATGGTCCTGCCCAGGCATTCACTTTTGCCGGTATTAGGAACTTGCCTCTACAACCAATGAGGATTTTCTCTGTTCCAGTACCTAAAATTTTGACTATACCATTCAAACAGAAGGTGGCTTCGTCTGAAAAAAGTATTTTACGAGGAAAGTGTGAATTATTGTTACATAAATTCATCATAGTTTCACAAAATTGTAGTCTACGGTCAGGATCATCTTCGTTAAGTTCCTGCACTAGTCTAATTTTGTATGGATAGTACTTTTCTTTCTTCAAAAGACGTAATACTAAGCGTTGGCTGACTTGACTTTCAGCTGCGACTAGGCTAGAAGCACTGTGAGGATCTTTGTCCACCCGTAACAAAATGTCAATTTTAGTGTCTTCACTAAAACTCAGACGGCCAGGTTTGCAAACTGCTTGTTGTGTTCTAGTTTTATTGCCACATCCTATAAGAATTTAAACTTCAATTCTCTATGTTTCCGTTAAATGGCCCATATTTAAATGATAATACTTAAAAAAATTGGGAGAACGCTTAAGAGACAGATACTTCACAGAACGCTCAACCAAAAGTTTTTACATCTAGTAGTGAATATGTTGTTTTAAATTATATGCAAAATAAAACAAAATAATATAAAATAAAAAACTTCCATATATTGATGCTATTTGTAGAATAAACTACCAAATGTTAAAAATTAACTGCCCCATATATCGTCCCATTACAATTGTAAGAAAATTATAAAAGAGCATGAGAATTCCTTTTAAACATTTAAACCGCTATTTTTTTATAATTGCCTATTTTCTTGTATTTGTAAAAGATACATATCGTCCCCGTTCTGGCAAAAGTCATTAACTCCATTTTTGTCTAAAAGTAGTTGACTACCTTCGCGATCATAGAACAATTATATCTGTGGTCTAGAAGAACTTATTAAGTGCAGTATTGTATTTTTAGCATGCTAAAAATACAATACTGCACTTAATAAGTTTTTCTAGACCACAGATATAATTGTTCTATGATCGCGAAGGCAGTCAACTACTTTTAGACAAAAATGAAGTTAATGACTTTTGCCAGAACGGGGACGATATGTATAATAATAGTATGTTTTAGAGTTCTTCCACTTTTCGAGAAGTTCACTGTTTAAATGAAACTTCAGAACTAGCCAAAAACTGTTCGGGATTTTACACTATAACTTCATCAAAAGCTGATATGGACGATGAACCACTGTCATCTAATATACATATGAAACCGCAAAAGATTGATGTAAATTTAAGAAAAAATCAGAAATACAAATTTAATTTTCTCTACCAACAACCCAGTGATTATCCAGTTGATCTATACTTTATAATGGACATGTCGAATTCCATGAAAAAAGTTAAAAAAACAATTGGAAATTTGGGCAAATCTATTTCGGAAAAATTAAATAAACTAACGAAAAATTCTCGAATCGGTTTTGGTTCTTTTGTCGATAAACCTTGTTTGCCGTTTCAAAATACTGGTAATAACACTATTAAAGAAAATACATACAGTTTCAAAAACAATATTGCACTCACAAATGATTCAGAAAAATTTAAGAAAGCAGTGAAAGATGCTTTGACCTTACCAAACTTGGATTCTCCTGAAAGTGGGTTTGATGCTCTGATGCAAGCGATGGTTTGTAAGAAGGAAATAAATTGGAGAAATGATTCCAGACATATTATAATACTTGCAACTGATGCGGCATCTCATATGGCAGGTAAAACTTACACTTTTTTACGAAAACATTTTATCAAAAAAGTACCTGGAGGTTTTTTAACTAAAAAGCCAGCGTACAAGATTCTTTAATTTGTGTTTCTGCTGAATGCATGGGCGCCCATATAAAATTTTTAAGGGGGGACAAACATCCTTATTACAAAGGCCGGCAAAATAAAATCTTCTATTTGCAGCAGGGTGGCAACTTTTTTGGGGTAATTTGCTTGCGCTGATTTCAAAAATGACCATCTTGTGAGAAAACCGTTTATTTCAATATGTAAACATTCACATTCGTAAATATTGTTTTAAGTGAAATAATGGGTAATGTAGCTTTAAAAATGGCATTTAAATCAACCGCGCGTGTCAACATTTGTAGTTTCAGTCATTTCTGCTATTGTACTAACGATTCTGAGGGTGAAAAAATAAATATGTTCTTTTTGCATTAAATCTAATGAATTTTGAAAGAAAACATTCCAAGCTATAATGTGCAACAAAAAAAACTGGAAGAAACGGGTAATTTTTAAGTTGATTAGTCTTCAAAATCTTTACTCAAGTGAACTGGCTAAATGACCATTGTGCCTCTAACTATTGGAAATACAAAAAAAACTGTCAATATGTCAACCGTTTTGCCACGTTGTGATTTAAGGTTATTTATCGTAGTATTCGTGAAAGTAACATTATGGTGGTAACGATTTAAAATATTAACTAATATCTCAGAATGGGACTAATATGATATGTGCTTTTCTTAATTAAAAACTGTAACACCCGAAACGTTTCGGGTGTTACAACTTTTTTATATGTCGATATATGTTTGTGTATTGCTTGAAGAATGTAATATTTATTATTTTTAAGGCTCGTTCGTCGGCCCACTAGCGCCGCCATCGGAAAAGCAGTCACACCTCTTTTAAATAGGTGTGACAGCTTTTTCGATGGTGTTACCGAAATTTCGGTATTTCTACCGAAATGGCGACGGACCTACCAAAATACCAAATACCGATTTTCGTTACCGATTTTTGGCAATAATAACGACTTTACCCTTTTTACCGATTTATCAATAGCACCCGAAGCTGTTGAAGTTATGTTTAAGGAGAATTAATTCTATTTATGTTTATTTGTTACTAACTTCTAAGTCAGAAGTTCTAACTAATAAAACAACGATTTTGTCCATATAAAGTGTTAAATTTTTTTTACTAATAATATATAATATATATAATTATAATAAGTAATTATTACATTGTTTAATTATCTAATATTTCATATCATGTTTACCATTTTTTACATTTATTTTAGCAGTGACTCATGCAATAAAGTTTTGAAATTTTTTTTTACATTTTGTTTAACAGTGTCATTATTTTTTGTTTTAAAACTCGTATTTTAATTCATTACTGCTCACATAATTTATTTAAGAAGTCGTACAAACGGTTGGAGCAAAAATGACTGTGAATATAACTTTTGACACGCCCGGTTTTTAAAGTGCCATTTTGTCAACTTTTTAATTGCGTTAAAATTTTAACACAATAAAGTAGATACCTAAAACCTCAAAATTTTGAAAATTTTATTAAAATCGGGCAAAACTTGTTTGCTTAAGGGCATATAAAGTTGGGTTGGGTTAAAAATTTCCAGGAAAGCAAGTAACAATATATACCTATAGGTATGGGCGCCCATTGATAAATGATACCAGGAGTTGTTTTCTAAAATTTACTACTATAGGTTCTATCTAAAATGATCTCTATAGAAACCAATTCTCAAAAGCAAACTAAGTGCGATGGAAAATGATGCAAATTACAAAAAAAACACCCACAGCACTACGTTTTTATATTTTTAATTTAAGGCAATGGTAGATTGGCTGGTATAGTCGTTCCAAGCGATGGTAAATGTCATTTACACAATGGCGTATACAACGAATCGTTAAAATTTGACTATCCATCTTTATCCCACATCAATTACATTGCCCGTCAAGAAAAAAAGTATATTATATTTTATGTGCATTCAGATTTTTACGAGTCATATTCACTTCTATCTAAAGAAATAGATTACTCTGATGTCAGCATAATGAATGATGGTACTAACATTAATTCTGTAATAGAGAAAAATTATATAGTAAGTATATGGTTTTTGATAGTAAAATACAAACACAAGCCCTAAATTACCAAATTATTTTAAAAACTTTATTTAATACACTTTTTTAGAACATCGTCAGCACAACTAAGATGCAATACGATGCACCAAATAACGTTAAAATCACTTTTACATCAAATTGTACAAATCCGAGTGAAAATGGATGCAAAGGAGTAAAAATAGGCGAAGTGCTTAATTTTACCGCGACAATACATGCAAAATCTTGCTCTCCAAATAATACCAGCCAAATTATAAGAGTGTACCCAGACGGTATTTCCAAAGAAGAACTTACTATAAAACTCAATGTTTTGTGCGACTGCGAATGCCAAAGGAAGAATATCTCCAGTTCTGAACAATGCAATAAGCAAGGCAGTCTTATTTGTGGGCTTTGCGAATGTGACGATGGCTTTATAGGAAAACAATGCCAATGCGCGGGTAACTCGAATATGAATATCGATAATAAGAATTGCCTAGGTCCAAATGATGAAGAGTGCTCCGGAAGGGGTACTTGTAAGTGCGGCCAGTGCGTATGTGATACAACCAAAAATCCTGACAAGGACGTTATCAGCGGAGACCTTTGTGAATGCGATAATTTTAATTGTGATAGGGCTAATGGTCAACTATGCGCAGGTGAGAACTTTAGACCAATTTTCAATTGTGGATATTCCGCAGATGAGACCCTATTATTTATTCAAATAATTAAAAATAAATGGTTTTAGGCAATGGAGTATGCGAATGCGGTAAATGCAGCTGTAAAAAAGGTTGGACGGGAAGTGATTGTAACTGCAAAAGCAGCCAGGATGAATGTAAAAACGACAAAGGAGTTATATGTTCAGATAAGGGCAAATGCAAATGTAATGCTTGCTTGTGCGATCGAAAATACTCCGGGAAACACTGCGATGTTAAAGTAACCCCAGCTCAAATGTAAGCCAATAAATTTCATCTATAGTAATTTCCTAAACGTTGTTATTTTTTTAGGTGTGATAGTTTTAAAGATTGCGTCGAATGTCAAGGATTTAAAACTGGGAAATATGATAAAATGGATTGCAAAACGAACTGTACCAAATTTATGACAAAATTGGTTAAAGCATTTGACAAAACACATTCAGCTACGCCATGTGTTCATTTTAATAAAGACAACTGTGAAATATTGTTCCAGTACACTGAAGATCTCATTGTAGAAGCTTTGGACGAACCAATTTGTCAAAAAAATATCCTATGGAGTACGTTTTTATTTTTATCTAATCATTATATTCTTTTAACTTTAACACAAAACTCTTTTTTAGTGTTAATTTTTGGAGTAATTGGTTCCATTCTCCTAGCGGGTATAGTACTTCTGTTGATGTGGAAAATTGGTACAACTATCCACGATAAAAGGGAGTTTTCCAAGTTCGAGCAGGAACAAAAGGGTATGAAATGGGGGGCAGGTGAAAATCCATTGTTCATAAAAGCTTCCACCGATTATTCGAACCCTGCCTACGGAAGGCAAGTAAGCAATTAAACAGTTAAGAGTACAATATTTTATACTAATAAATTAACTTGTGCATATTTAACTTTCCATTGTATTTTAAATAATTTGTTTCCATTTAAAATTTTATATTTATATACAATAAAGTAACAATAAAAAAATTGATATCGATATAACAGTTTTTTTATTTGAACGGGGTTTACTTTTTATTTTTTATTATTTACACATTACTTTAGAGTAGAATTTCCCTTGTCTCATGTGTTTTCTTTTGTATATTTAAGAATATAAATTTAAGTCATCTTATATCAAAACACCTAGGGGTCATTCCATGACAAACGATACTGAGGGTGAAAAAATAAATATGTTTTTTTCGCATTAAATCTGATGAATTTTGAAAGAAAGTGAAGGAGACTTGGCACAATACCTAGATTTAAAAAAAAAATAAAAAAAATACAAAAAATCCTTATTATTATTCAAAATAAGAACAAAACTCATTGAAAAGGGTTAGGTAATGTAGGAATAGCTACAAATATTTATGTAATAGCACCTCAAAAATATCTAAGATTAAAAAAATAATCTTTTAAAAAAAAAATTAACAAAAAAGCTTTTGAATCACATGTTAAATACAAATTTTCCTCTTTTATCTGTAGGTTTTGGCAAATTTTCCTCTTTTATCTGAGGATTTTGGCAATTTCTTATTAGGTAATAGCACCTTAAAAATACCTAACATTAAAAAAATCAACAAAAAACAAATTTTCCTCTTTTATTTGAGGGTTTTGACGACTTCTTAGTGATTTGAGTGACTGAAACGGTGACTATATCTTCAACAGTTGGGAAAATGTGACACTTCAGTTGAGAGTTAAATCTCATACATTTTACTTCATATTTCTTTATATTTTTGCAGTCCCAAGTCTCATACTAAAAACGCTATTTTTTAAAATACAGAATAGTAAGGTTATCTAGTTATATTACTGTTATCGGATATTAATGGTAAAAAAAATTATAAAAAAACTTACTGGTTATAAACAACCTTCAAAAAACGCAAATATTTTACGTCCCAAATAAATTTCTTCACCTGATGCCTATTCTACACGACCGTATTTTTTTCCAGTTCGTATAGTGTAATGTAGATAGAGGGGGCAATTAAATTTAAACTAAGTTCCGTTTGTCCTAAGAATCCTGCACTGTCCCAAGCCACCCGGTTATACGGTACTCAATTACTTACTTTTATTGTACATGTTGTAGATAATATTACGAACTTCTGTTTTAATATTGTCATCTAAATTTTTGGTTTTCAGTGATAACCGTGGCCTTGATTGTCCTCGAGTTTCAAGCGGTTCATTTCTATCAATGCTTTGTTTTATTCGTTTAACCGTACTACTGCTGATATTCAACGCAGCCCTGCTTAAAATACTCCATAGAGACCCTCTTAAAACCGATAGATATTTGTATCGGAATGTATGGTGTTTCTATAGGGTGTATCGGTATGTATAGGACCCATAGTTGGGATTTATGGTTGTTCTATAGGGATATCCACCCTTGATTTATTTGATATTGGTTTTAATGGGGAAAATACACATAAATATAAAAATTAGTATTTCCCCCATATGACCCCATAGGTTTTAATAAAATTTTGTCAAATGTTTTATCGTTGTTCTATATCCCTATATATCCTTCATTGAATTATTTGCTATCGGTCTCTATAGGGAAAATGTAAAAGTTATGGTGTGCCTATAGGTAATTTCCTATAAATTTTCTATCGGGCCGTATCCGGAAAAAACCATGGACAAATGCACATATTGAATCCGGTAGCGCCCGATAGATTATTTTGTATAGGTCTCTATGGGGTATTTTAAGCAGGGAGCAGCAACACGCTAAAATATTTAATGTTAATTACAAAACTCATATTAACATTACAAATTACCTCTGTAACTACCTCAAAAGGAATTAAAGGACCTCCATTGGTCTTTTCGGCCGTAAAATAATGTAATAATGAGGCAACCATTTCCCTAGATTGGGAATTTAAGACTTTGCCTGATTGCCTTATTAATATAATAATAAAAACGAACTGAAAATACTAAACACAAACTAAACACTGAAATTGAACTGTTTAAATACGCAAATTATGGAAAATATTAAAAAATTCAAGTACACCAATGATGACAGGCTGTCAAAGTTTTGTAGCATAGATAAGGGATAAGTTGGGTGGGCGGTGGGGTTTAGTTAGATAGGCAACTTAGTATTAAAGTTTTGTTCCGTGACTACTGCGCCATCTAGCGGGTGTAGTCAAAAAGAGATATTCAAATTATTGGTGGCTGAATTGTATTATTTTGTTATCTCCAATATATAAATAATTTTAATATTTTTCTAGTGAAAGTTAAAAGAGGAATAATAAAACTACATTTTTGTAATTATTATTTTATTTTCCAAAGTTAAATACATATAGACGCAAATGTTCAAAACACAACTTAAAATTACTCTACATCAGTCAATTAACTATAATTTAAACGTATCTAATAGAGGCAAATAAGTTTATCTAATTATTTCATTCCTAATCTAATTAATTTATAAGGTAAAATATATTTATAAAAATTAAAAACTATACAAATTTTAAGACTTACTGCTTAGAGGCAAATTTACATTTTTAAATTACACCCCGCGGGTGATTTTAACCCTTTTATGAAAATTTTTAAAGTTTAAAATGATTTTTTTTTGAGAATATTTTATAAAATATTATAACCATATTTTGTACCATAGTTGAAATATTATCACAAAAATGCATTTTAAAGAATGGTTAAAATTTTTTAAAATAATTTTTCAAAATTATATATAAAGCCTAGATATAGGTATCCTTACATAAGATTAAACATAATATAAAAAACTAGACATACCTCATCGTTTTTGGGAAATCGATGCATTTTTACCCTATCTCCCCTGCTTTTGCACTTTCGTTCACAACATGAATAAACCATAATAATTAATATGTTACACAATATAAACTTAAAAGGTTATAAGGCTTATAATATAAGGACTTCACAAATTTAACACACACTTAAAAGTTTACAAAATGAAGTTATTTTTGAAAAGCTCATGTCTAATTATAATTATTATAAAAACTGTCATTAAGACAACGGTAGTCTCGGTGACAAAAACAACTTTGGCGACATTAGCGCCTCTGGCGAGTGTAGTCAAAACTTCCCAGCGGACAACCTTTTGTACAGTAAAGATGCACAACCATGTTTTGTAGACATTTGTGCATTTAGCTATCTTTGTCGATCCCATTATTATAAAAATATAAACATAAAGAACGTATGTTGTGGTATTATTAGACATACGTTTATCTATCGCTATATGCTACGTCCCAGTGGTCCTGCGGCGCGCCGCGGCGTGGAAATACAATACGAATGTCTGAGCTATATCCTTACATATGTCACGTGAGGGTCATGATTAAAAAACCAAACTATATTTCCTTATTATTTGTAAATATTTATTTGCGACTAGTTCAGTGCCGGTTTAAGTTAGTTTGCCGCCCGGTTCTGGCACAAACACAACGCCCAATGCTTTAAAATATTACTTTTTTAAAAACATTTTTAAATTTTTAAGTCTTACTTTCTCACGTCAAGTGGAAGATTAGGTTGGTTAGGCTGGTATCTAACAGTAAACTTAGTATCCTATAAAATATAAAATGAGCCTTTATAAATAAATTATAAAAACTAATCAAAAGCACTAACTAAAAAATATTCTTTGGTCAGTAGCGTGCAAAGGTGATCGGGGGCCCCCCCGCAAATTTTGATCTGGGGCCCCTTTGTCGACAGTGATCACTTATACCACCCAATGTGGTTCTCTACGGGGCCCCCCTAAGGTCGGGGGCCCCCCCGCACCGCGGGCCCTGCGGGGCCCGTCCTGCACGCCACTGTCTTTGGTTTATATAAACAATACTAAGTACTAAGGAAAACTAAATAAAAAATAAAAGTTTAATATTTTGTTTCATTAAACTAATAAAAACTAATCAAAAGTTATAAATAAATAAAACATTATTCTTTGGTTTAAATAAATATTAAGAAATCCTAATACTAATAACCAAAAGGTTGTTTTCAAGTTTTTATAGTAGCAAAATGATCACGTAAAAATCAAAGTTCTCAACTAAAAATGACAAAAGATGAGCATTTGTGCTTAAATCTAATTTTGTTTTTGGACTGCTTTATTGGTTTCATTAACTCTTTGCAAAACGTCTATCCAAAAAGTTAAAATTCCGTTTCCAATAAATCAAGTTTTTCTGATGGAGAAGCTGCTTCAACTCTAACAACATTTTTCTCATTTGTATCCGTTGTATCCGCCGACGCAGTGTCGCAATAATTTTTTTTCTAAATTCTAACGATTAAGTATTTTAAAAAAAAATTATGGGCGGTACGCGGTACCGCCCCAAAAATATTTACCGCCCGGTGCTATAGTCCCCAAAAAACCCCTGTTAAACCGGCACTGGACTAGTTTCGGTCTTTAGACCATCTTCAGGCAAAAACATCAAAATAAATAAAATGGACAAATTACTACAATTTATTGTAGTATTGATTGCGTCACAGACTGTGACTCACAGTCCAGAAAAAAATTATAATTATCAAGTTATAAGTGTGCTTCCTTGTTACTTTGCCAGTGTAATACCCGAAACGAAAAATCATTTAATTGTTTTATTATTATAGGTACCTTACAGATTGATTAGTGTAATAAAATTTAGTAAAAGTAACGTTATGGTGGTAATGATTTAAAATACCAAATAATATCTGAGCATGAGACTAATTTGATATGTCTTTTATCTGAAAAACCTTTCGGGTGTTATAACATTTTTTATATGTCGATATATGTGTGTGTATTGCTTGAAGAACGCAATAAGTATTATTTTTAAGGCTCATTCGACGGCCATCGGAAAAGCAGTTATATTTAAAAAAAATTCATTCATTATTATGTTTATTTGTTACTAACTTATTTTATAGTACCCAAAGACTAATAAAACAACAATTTTGTCTATATTAAGTGTTTAATTTTTGTACTTGTAACACCCGAAAAGAACCATGGTAACACCCGAAACAAAGTAAAATTGTATTTAAAAAAATAGCAAAACGTTATTTGTGACAGTGATTATGCGGTAGATGGTTAGTAAATGTTATACTTTTGGAGGCCTGTTATTTTTAGGAATGTTTCCCTAAGAAAATTCGGTGAATTTCAAATAAATGTAACAATGGTCAGGACATAAAGGCAGAATCGTGAAACATCCGAAACGAACACTTCAACTTATAAAATCGTTATCCTATATACTAAACTGTACTTATTTTACAATTTAGATAAAACCACTAAAAACGTAAAGAATAAGGCACTTTAATTGCTAAAATGTTATTTTAAAATACATACAAATTTAGACTTTGGTTGAACAAATGTAACACCCGAAACGATGGAATGACCCCTACTGAAAAAATAGAATTCTCCAGTAGAACAGTTTTTTTAATATGTTTATTTATATTTATTTATTTATATTATTTATTTTTACATTTGAAAGTATAAACTGTCAGTGTAATGTAAAAGAAACTTGCCATGATTGTATACAAGACCTTAATTGTGATTGGTGCATAGAAAACGTAAGTAAACCATAATATAATATAAAATATGAACATGAACGTAATGGAAGAATAATATCACCTAAATCAAATGTACTTATAACAAAAAATATTCCTTTATTAATCAACACTGTTGGAACTCCAATAACACAAATGCAACCTCAAAAAATATCCTTAAACCAACGCAAAGGCGAGGAATTAAATTTCACCTTTAAGTATAAACCGTCAAATTTTATCCTATAGACTTGTATTACCTTATGGACGTTTCTGCATCAATAAAACAACATAAGGAACAAGTTGCTGAGTTGGGTGGAACAATATCGGATACCATAAGGCATATTACTAATTACTTCAGACTTGGTTTTGGAACGTTCATTGATAAACCAACTCTACCATTTGCTGATCCAATGAAACAATAGTAAGTGATGAATGATGATTAGAGGGTTCATTTAAAGCCAAAGGACATGTTTTAGTAGATGTAGAACCTTTATACGAGTTTAGAAATCACTTACCTCTGACCCAGAACTTCAAAGAATTCATATGCAAAGTACAAACGACTCGTCAATCAGAAAACATTGATGTACCAGAAGGAGGTTTAGACTCAATGCTATAGGCTAAGTCCAGTGGAGAAGTCAAGCTAGACGCTAACATTTCTGGCGATGGGAAATTTAATAGGATAGTGGAACCGAATGATGGAGAATGTCATGTTGCTAATGGAGAGTATATAGGTTCATTATTGTAAGATTATCCCTCTATCTCGCAAATGCAGAGGTTTATTAAGGGTATACAGATTTAGATGATTATTTGAAGCCGAGCAACTGGCGTTGCTTTAATCAATAAAGAATCAAGTAATATAGAGGAAATCATCGTAAATAATTACAAACAAATTATGGATTCTGTAACCATAACCACTGATAGGTACACCAAAATTTGTAATACAAATGGACTCAAACTAAAAATAAAACGAAAAGTATATACATGTTATATTCATCAAGATGAAGTTATTGTTTACGGCAACTATTAAAGCAGCGGAGTGCATTAATAATAAAAATATTTTGATAAAACCCGATGGAATGGAGGATAATATCATGATCGGTTTAAATGTTATATGCAGTTGTAATTGTGATAAATATCCCTAATTTTTTTGAAAACTAGAATATCTGCTCCAATAATGGAAAAATGGAATGTGGTGCAGGTAATTGTGTTTTACGAAAACAATTGCAAATGTCAAGGAATTTATAATTACATGTCATATTTTAATGATTTCTTTTTAGATTTAAACCCCTTCAATGTAAGTGTATGTCAACCAAAACTAAACTTTCCAATTTGTTTAGACAAACCCAAACAACCAAAAAAGCTTTAAAAAAATTTGCGACAAAAACAACAACCTGTGTGTAACAACCATGGAACGTGCGATTGTGGTAAATGTCTGTGCCAAGAAGGATGAAGCGGTGAAGCATGTGAATGTGCACCTGTTACATCATGCAAGGCTTCAGGTGATGAACAGGTTTTTTCTATCAGAGTAAGTTGCAGCTGCTGAGAATGTTTATGTGACATGCCATTTAGTGGGAAATATTACAAAATATGCACCAACTGTGGAAATAGAAGGTATGTTTTAAGCTTAGGAATTGTTTTAAATCTCATTAAAAACTTTTTAGATGCGACGAATTACGTCATTGCGTAGAATGTCAAGTGTATCGTACAGGAGAATACAACAATGATGAATGTGATCAAAATTGTAATGATTTTACCACAATAGCGGTACATAAGTTTGAAAACATGACAAACACTGAAAACTGTATTATATTGGATGGCAATGATTGCAAGATAATTTTTAAATACTTCGAATTTCTGGGTCTGGATTTTTCCCTAAAAGTTGTGGCTTTAAACAACAAACAATGCAGTGAAAAAATGTTCGCATAGGGTTCATGTTAAAATAGTTAAAGAGCTTGAATTTTGAATTAAAATTGCGATTAAAATCTTCCACTTTTTTTCATTCAAAATTTAAGTCGCTCATATTGAACCAGCTCTTAAATTAAACCGTACTAATTTTCCTTGCATGCTAATTTTTTAGCGCCATAATTCCACCCTTATAAATTTTTCAGTAACTTTGTTTTTCAATCTTTCCATTCATTGTTAAAGTTGTTTTTTGAAACTTTTCAAATTAAATGCTCAAAATGAATCGTTGCAATATATTTTATTGTGGGTTTTGACACTTGATTTTAACGAAACGAAAAGTTACAGGCCAAGCACTGTAATCGTTTGGTTGAAATCGGCATTGTCAAAATGTGTAATATTCTATTTTATATCAAATTTATCTATAGATTTATTTATCTATAGATTTATTTATCTATAGATTTATTTTATAAAAATTCACGTCAAAACATATCGCAACGATTTCATATGTTTTCAATAAATATTTCATATATTCATTTCAGGCGTTTTAAATGGTCCTGATATTCGGAAATTGGTAAAGCCTGAAGACTTTGACAGGGCCTTGGTTGACAAAATGAGATGAGTGCGTTATCATCAAACTGGGATGCCATTTGAGTCCAGATACAGATGCCATACTACTAGTATGATACTAGCCAAAACATGTTGGTAGATTAAACATATTTTTGACTACGATCAGGAAGAAAATGAAAATGAAGAACAAGAAAATAAAGGAGAAGAAGTGGAAGGGATAGAATTATCCAGTGATGAATCAAAAAATGAAAATGAAGAAGAAGAAAATAAATGAGAAGAAGTGAAAAGGATGGAATTCTCCAGCAATGAATCAGATTACTGTATGTTTTGATACAAAATAGTTTTTTAATAATAAAATTAATACAAAATAAAAAATCAAACTATCTGTACTTTTTTTACAATTCTATTTTATCTATTTAATTTTTTCCTACAAATTTTCTAAAGATTTCGGCAAAAAATTTGGTGTTGAGTGTGAAAAGATGAATATTTTGGAAAATCTTGTTCAAACATTGTTTTTCAGCAAATAAGCAAACTTAAAGTTCAGTTTAGTATGGGTATTTTATAAATTACTTCTTCTAGTACATTTTACAACATTTTTTCCAGAAGAAATTTTAAATATTATTGAAAAATTGAAAATAAAATGTAATTTTTTTCGAATATTTATTCCCAAAAATTGGGTTTTGGATATAGGTTGTTTACAAAATGGGTTTATTTGTTTAGTAACTAAATTTCTACAAAAAATCTTGACGATATAAATCGAATATATGCGAAAAAAATCGATTTGTTGTATATAAAACTCGAAAATACAAACGGCCATAAAAAAATTCGAGCTAACTTTTACAAAACCTTTTACAAATTCGAGCTATCTTTTACAAAAATAGTCCGGTGCGGTTTGATTTGTGGCTGTATTGTTTCATCTAACCTTTCAAAATAAATTTGACCATTAAAATTTGGTCAATGAATAAAATAAAAATTACGTTTATTTTTAAATTTTTACTATTTTTTAGTCATGAATGTGGGATGAAAACAACCCTTATGACATTTTAATAATAATCTCCAAAACGATATAAATCATCCTGATTTATCATCCTGATTTTAAAAATCATTAGTCCAAGTATGTTTGTCTATCAAGATTTTAAAACTAGTAAATACATTAATATCATCTTAATTTAAAAAAACTAAAACCCGATTTTGTGTAGGTTAATCTTTAGCACTCCTCTCAGCAGCTTCAGCAGCTCTCTACAGGAAATCTTTCATGACAGCGCGTACCCTAGATCCAATGTAAATGTTTATAGACCCAGAACTACCTACTCCTCCTATAGAAATTAGATAAATGTAGCACCAATAGCAAGGCCCCTGCTATTTTGAGAAACGACCAAGATATTAAACCAGATGGGTCCTACTCTTATAAGTAAGTAGAGAATTATAATATTAACATTAATTTTCAATTTCACAAAATAAAACTATACATTTCATTATTCCATTGTATCTCTACCAATATTAGGTTGCAAAATCTGCATATTTTGTGTTAAACCGGTAAAAAAATCATTTTTGGTTTCACAACCAGACGGATTAAAACATTCTGAACATGGATCTAGCACCAATCGATAATGGGTTAAATTCGCTCAAGATTTTTTTATATTTATTAAACAAAAACTTTTCAACCAATGAGATTGTCTATTTTGCTGTCGTTGTCAGCCGACGGCATGTATCGGGGACCTTATTGCGGTTTTGTATTACGCTGGCCCAACTACATTTTAAAGTTCTTCGCTTAGTCTTATACGGTTCACTTGACACTGTATATTTCCTATGTATGAGGGTATGGTATACAAATATCATTTTATAACCAATTTTTGCAATTACATCCCCTTTTTCGTCAGGGTCGTCTATTATACTTTTTTCCACCTGGGAAGTGCGCTTTTGAATATACACGCCACAAATAAATGTTTTATTTAGTAGCTATAAGACGGTCAATGGCATTGCCGCTCAAGAGGAAGGTGTGGGGGGTAGATCTGTGCAGGGGGGTTTCTGCTGGACTTCCCCTAAAGATGAATTGGTCGAAATTCAATATGTCGCCGATGAAAATGGTTCAATATTATAAGAAATATTCCCGTAAATATTAGTAATAAACAATGATAAATAAACTTGGAGAATTTATAAATGTAGTTTTATGAAACATGTGAATGTTAAATTATTATATCATCAAGCGTTATCAACCGCATTTTAACCGAATGAATTTATTTGAGAAGCGTTTGGAAATTCTCCATTATATCATTTTAAAATGTTGTCAGTAAAGTTTGCAATATTTTCGGTGTTTTTATTCGTACATTTTAAGCATTTAAATGCTGATTGTATTAATAAAAATACTTGTAGTGCTTGTATACAGGAACCTGGATGTGGATGGTGTGAAATTGCACAGGTAAAATAATTTTTATTTTATAATTTATCTGTGGTCAGGGGCGTGGTGGAAAAAGATAAATAAATAAAAAAATTGTTAAGTAACTATTTGAGATCAGACTATAGATAATTTAAAAAGGCCGTTAACAATTCAATTTAAAAATTGCTCAGCGAGATTTTTTCAAGAATAATGAATGAATCCAACATGTGTTTCAAGCATGGTTTCTAGGTTATGTTCCATATCCTTCGTTGCAGGCGTCGATATGTGAAAAACTATACAATTCTGAACAGGGACCCGGACCGAAATGAAATATCGGTTCCGGTACGGTTTTGGTTCACCCTATTTTCGTTTTAATGGTTCCGATTCCGGTTTCGGTTTCGTGGAGTTATAACGGTTCGGTTCTTTTCGGTTTTAAGCGGTTCCAGTGAGGTTATTTGTTTTACGTAATTTTAATCTATAACCTCACATATATATATGTTATATAATGTTATTAGAATGAAAGCAAATAAAGGTTTCGGTTCCGGTCCAACAGATTTTATCAAAAGCGAAAACGGTTCCGGTTCGGGTTTCGGTTCGGAAAAAAAACCGGTTCCGTTCCGGTTTTCGGTTTTTTCGGTTTCGGTCCGGGTCCCTGATTCTGAATATTGTAAGGTAATCATAAAAGGCCAGAACATTTTTTTTTATATTTGCCTATTTTCTTGTATTTGTAACAGCTATGTATAATAATAGTATGTTTTAGAGTTCTTCCACTTTTCGAGAAGTTCACTGTTTAAATGAAACTTCAGAACTAGCCAAAAACTGTTCGGGATTCTACACTATAACTTCATCAAAAGCTGATATGAACAATGAACCACTATCATCTAAAATAAATTTGAAACCGCAAAAGATTGTTGTGAATTTAACAAAAAATCAGGAATACAAATTTAATTTTCTCTACCAACAACCCAGTGATTATCCAGTTGATCTATATTTTATAATGGACATGTCGAAATCCATGATAAAAGTTAAAAAAACAATTGCAAATTTGGGCAAATCTATTTCGGAAAAATTAAATAAACTAACGAACAATTCTCGAATCGGTTTTGGTTCTTTTATCGATAAACCCTGTTTGCCTTTCCAAAATACTGGTGAATTAAATTATAAAAGAATGACATACAGTTTCAAAAACAATCTTCCCCTTACAAACAATTCAGAAAAATTTAAGAAAGCAGTGAAGGAAGCTTTGGCCTTATCAAACTTGGATACTCCTGAAAGTGGTTTTGATGCTCTGATGCAAGCGATGGTTTGTAAGAAAGAAATAAATTGGAGGGATGATTCCAGACATATTATAATACTTGCGACTGATGCTCTATCTCATATGGCAGGTAAGACTTTTACGAAACATAAAGGTTTTTTTTAACTAAAAAGCCAGCGTAAAAAATTCTTTAATTTGTGTTTCTGCTGTATGCATGGGCGCCCATATAACATTTTTCAAGGGGGGCAAACACGCTTATTACAAAGGTAGGCAAAATAAAATTTTCTATTTGCAGTAAGGTGGCCAGCAACTTTTTTGGAGTAATTTGCGTGAGTAATTGGTAATGTAGCGAAATTTGTTGTCCGTTTTTAATGAAATTTACCAAATTTATAGCTTTATCTATGTACTTTATTACCTCAAATTTTAAACGCAATCAAATAAAAATTATCAGTTTGGCTCTGGGGCACAGTTTTTGATAATAATTTATTACCAAAATAAAATTTCCTTATAACATACATACAGGGTGTCTAAACGAGCAATGCTCTATAAGTCTGGACCTAAAAAGATATCAAAAACTTCTTAAAATTGTTTCTAGGATATGTGGGGGAAATAAATATGACCCCAAAAATGACCTTCACTAAGCAACCCGTGGGGCTGTAGCCACCCCAACTCAATTTTTTTAAATGGCAATACCCTCTTTGTGACGCCTCATTGGAAAGCTCTTGAAAATTGCTATACAGAATGTCCAAAATGTAATGGGATAGCATTGCTCTCTCGGAAACAGTTATAGTTGGAATAGGGCATCAAGAGTTCAAAAGAATTAAAGTTGCCTAATTACATGCATTTTAATACGGCATAGAAAATCAGCTGTTCTCAAAATACACTGGCGAAAGAAATTAACGCATCACGATAAATGTATCATTATTTTGTTGTTAAATATTTTCCAAACCAATCATTCGATTTTGATGTTTTTTTTTTGGATTGTGTAACGACTCTTAGAAAATCTTATTATGACTTTAGTTCTTTTATAAATCTTTGTTTCTTTTATATACGGGGTGTTATACTGATACTTGATTTTTTTTAAAATTTTCAAACACTCTGTGTATTAAAGTAGCAGTAATAGCAAATCCTAAAAAGGATAAAACTATAGCCTTATCTAGCCCTACCATTCTCTTTTTTGATTCACCTTTTTATCTCTTTGATTAAAGGAGATACACATTTTAATAACACTGCATGTTTTATTTACCTTTTTATACACATTAAAGAAAACAGGCTGTGGCGTCTTGTCAAATTTATGACATTTCAAACGAAATGTCAATATTATTTATCTTAAGGTTTAATACATTTAACAATTAACATAATTAGCAAAAATTATCTATTGTATTTACACAACACAGTAACTAATACTTAGTGTTTCCTCCTCTTGCACGAATTACAGCCTCACATCGACGCCTCATACTAAAAATTAAATTTCTTATTTCATCTTGGTCGATACTTTCTCAAATTTGTTGTAGCCTTTCTCCCAGTTCTTGTTGATTAATGGGTTGACGAGGAAGTTCTCTTAACCGTTTGCCCATAATATCCCAGATATGTTCTATTGGATTAAGATCCGGACTTCTGGCTGGCCAACGCATTGTTGGAATATTAACCTCGGCAAGATATTGTTGTACAATCCTGGCCGTATGCGGTCTAGCATTATCATGCATAAAAATAAAATTATCACCGACAAAGGGTGCAAAAGGCATTAAGATAGGTTCTAAAATGTTTTCAATGTAAGAAACTGCCGTGACACTTCCTCTTGGAATTACCACCAACTCCGTGCGAGCCTCTGCAGTGATGCCTCCCCACACCATACTAGAGCCTCCACCAAACATGACTGTTTGAACAATGTTACATTGAGCATAACGTTCACCTGGCCGTCTATATACACTCATCCGTTTATCACTGCTATGGAGACAAAATCTGGATTCGTCAGTAAACATAACGTTGGCCCAATCAGCCTCTAACCAGTTAACGTGTTCTTGAGCAAATGTTAATCTGGCTCTGCGATGCTCTGCGTTTAATTGAGGGCCTGTTGCAGGTCTTCTGGGTCTTAAATTAAATTCACGTAGCCGCTTTCGTATCGTTACACTGCTTACACGAATATTATGTGTCTCTTCCAGGATATTTTGTAATCTTGGTGCTGTAATAAACCGTTCCCTTAACGTTTGTAACAACAAAAATCGATCTTGGACATCGTTTGTGGCTCGTCTTCTTCCTTGACCTGGTCTTCTTACGTGCACTTGAGTCTCATGATACCGCCGCAGGATTCGAGATATAGTCGATTGATTGACTCCAAGACGTTAAGCGATAAAACGCTGACTTCTACCATCTTCCGAAAGAGTTACCGCACGCACAGAATCTTCAAAACTTAAGATGCGATTCTGATGAAGCACGTTCATTCTGACATTCATTATAAAATATTGACATTTCGTTTGAAATGTCATAAATTTGACAAGACGCCACAGCCTGTTTTCTTTAATGTGTATAAAAAGGTAAATAAAACATGCAGTGTTATTAAAATGTGTATCTCCTTTAATCAAAGAGATAAAAAGGCGAATCAAAAAAGAGAATGGTAGGGCTAGATAAGGCTATAGTTTTATCCTTTTTAGGATTTGCTATTACTGCTACTTTAATACACAGAGTGTTTGAAAATTTAAAAAAAAAATCAAGTATCAGTATAACACCCCGTATATAAAAGAAACAAAGATTTATAAAAGAACTAAAGTCATAATAAGATTTTCTAAGAGTCGTTACACAATCCAAAAAAAAAAACATCAAAATCGAATGATTGGTTTGGAAAATATTTAACAACAAAATAATGATAAATTTATCGTGATGCGTTAATTTCTTTCGCCAGTGTATTTAAAAAAAAAACTGAAAATCGGTTAAAACTTATCGGGGGTAATTACACAAGTGCTTAAAAATTATCGATAATTTTGCTTGAAAGCATATTGCCTAAAAAATGCATGAGTTCATTTTCATATTTTGGAAAGAGCCCGACACCGAAGGTGGAGGGCTCTTTCCTCAAAATATGAAAATGACCGAATGCATTTTTTAAAAGGCAAAATGCTTGAATGCAAAATTATCTGATTATTTTTATGCACGAGTGTAATTTGTTTAGATAATTACACGAATTAAAACTAATTAAATCAAAGAATAACATTTTCAAATATTTTAACACTTTTTTTCACATTTTCATTAATTGATTCAAATGATTCTTTACCAAAACGTGACATTTTAAATAACTGTAACATTAAAATAAAAACTGACGTTATTTTTTTTAATTGCCATGGATACGTAGATACAATGGAATTATCGATTTCTAGTAGACAATTATCGCTGGCTCGATCCATCTCAAAATTTTTTTTCGGCGATACTTTCAGAAATGGTTGTTTAAACACATATTTTTTGTTTTTGCTCTTAAAGTCAGCGTTTTCGAAAAATTTAATTTTTTCTCTGAGCGCACAAATGCGGATTTTTCATTTTCCCCATAAACAACTTTTTTGCGAACGCTTATAACTTTTGTAAAAATGCATGGATTTGAGTGTTTTTTTTTTAATTTGTAGGTAATTGTTCAATCTACGAAGTACATTGAAGAAAAAAAATTTTGCGCATAATTTTTTTTAAAATTGTTAATTAAGTAAAAAAATTTTTTTTTCAAAAAATTTTTTTTTGATAATGCCACATTTTTTTTTCTTTTGATAATTTTTTATATCAATGTGTGATGTATGAACAACAATATGTATAAAAGTCAATATGCTAAAATTCGTTTTTTTCGAGATATGATTTTTTTTAATTACAAAATGTTTAATACTTTATTGTTTTTGCACATTAATCGCCGAAAGCATATTTTTCAAATAAAAAAGGAAAGGATGACAGAAAATGGTCTATTTATTAATAAAACTATGTATTTAAAAAAAGCAGGGCCCTTAAATAAATTAAGTATCGAAGTAATGTGTGTTCAGTTAACGTACACGCTCATGAGCGTGCACGCAATAATATCGCCACGAGTTTTTTTACATTTAATTGCTAACGAGGAGTAAATAAAAAGATCTAGTTAGCCATCACCGTTGCTAGGTAACACATTTGTTTAATAAATAGTTTTGACAGGTTTTGTGTCCCTCATAAATTATCGTTGTTAGTCAGCTAGTCAATTAATAAAATCATTATTTAAACACGAAAAGTAAACCAGCATCTAAGGTAAGTCATGAAGAAAATAGACGAAAAGTATGTTCAGGGTGTGGAAATAAAATTATATTTAGGATAAGCAAAGAAGTTAAATTAGCAGTATAAGAAAAGAATTGAAAGACCCAACCCAACCCAACCCAAACTAGTGTTGCCTGGAACGGTGATGGCTAACTAGATCTTTTTATTTAATTCGCAATTTCATCCTTTTTTTTAATTTTGGACTATAATTCAAATATCAATTTAGTGACTTATTTAAGATTTTTTGCGAAATTCTTGAAAACTGAGCCCTTTAGGAAAAAATGTTTAAATAAAGAATTAAAGACGAATAAATTTTCAATTAAATGATGCTTTAACAACAGCAATCATTGGCGTAGATATGATTTTTTTAATTATAATATGTTTAAAACACAGCAGTTTGCACATTAATCGCCGAAAGCATATTTTACAAATAAAAAGGAAAGGACGACAGAAAATGGTCTATCTATTAATTAAACTATGTATTTAAAAAAAGCAGGGCCCTTAAATAAATTGAGTACCTAAGTAATGTATGTTCAGTTGAGGTATACGCTTACGCAATAATACCGCTACACTGAAAAAAATAAGCTGTTGAAACAACAAAAAAAATATTAATTCAACTCTTTATGCACTTTAAATACAAGCAATGGTTTTTGCACGTTTACTTAACCATCTAAAAATGTCAAATTGTATTGTTTAATTGAACAACAAATAACAGTCAAATGAACAAAATTAGGATATTTGTTCCAATCTGCTAATTTTGTTAATTTAACATTCTTAGAGTGTTAAGGCAACTTTATGAATGCAAATTTAACATTTTAAATTTTAAAATAACATTTACAATTTGTTAAATGAACAAATTTAATGTTGTGGATTAAACAGCAA